ATTAGCTGTAGCTTGTGAAAAATTAACTTAAATTTATAGTCCAAGCTGCATTAATTAACTCTCTGGAGACTGCAGGCAGAGTTTTTCACTAGATTCCGGAGAATAGGGCTAGTGGTCTGCCTGAGAAGGTTAAATAACATGCATGGTATAAGATTCCCTGCGTAATCACTGATGGTCTTTCTGCATAGTTAGAGTAGAATAGGCTAGGCTAGGCTAGGCTAGGCTAGAACAGAACAGAACAGAATAGTTTGGTTAGAAGGGCTAACCAAAAGTTAAAGTATATTATTAAGAACTTTATCCAAATGCCTCTTGAACACTGACAGGCATGGGGAATCAAACATCTTGCTCTTCCAGTGTTTGACCACCTTCACTGGAAAGACATTTTTCCTAATACCCAGTCTGAACCTCCCTTGGCACAGCTATGTGCCATTCACATGCATCCTATCACTGGTTACCATGGAAAAGACATCAGTACCTCCCTCTCCGTTTCTCCTCCTCAGGAAGTTGTAGGGAGCAATGAGGTTGCTTCTTAACCTCCTTTTCTCCAAACTAGACAAGCCAAGTGTCCTCAGCTTCTCCTCACAGGACATGCTTTCCCTCTTACCAAGTTTGTTGCCCTCCTCTGGATGCATTCAAGTATTCTTTGTATATTGTGAAGCCCAGAACTACACAGAGTATTCAAGGTGAGGCCACACCAGTACTAAATATAGTAAGATAATCCTCACTTTTGACTGGCTGGTTATGCTGTGTTTAATGCACCCCTAAATGCGTTTTGCCCTCTTGATTGACAGGGCACACTGCTCCAAGTGGTAAGATGAGGGGCAAAGTCCTCAGGTTACACCAGGGGATGTTTAGGTTGGATATTAGGAGAAATTTCTATACTGAGAGGATTGTGTGGCATTGGAATAGTCTGCCCAGGGAAGTGGTTGAGTCACCATCCCTGGAGGTCTTCAAGAAACCTGTAGTTGTAGAACTCAGTAGCATGGTTTAGTGGTGGACTTGTCAGTACTAGGTTAAAGGTTGGAATAGGTAGAATTGTAGAATCATTAAGGTTGGAAAAGCCCTCCAAGATCATCTGGTCCAATCATCACCCCTCCACCAATGTCACCCACTAAACCATGTCCCTAAGCACCAGGTCCAACCTTTCCTTGAACACCCCCAGTGTTCACAGATACCATGAGACACAGTATCTTTTGATAACTTACTAAAATCCAGTAAGATTACATTCATTGCCTTCCCTTCATTCACCAAATGGGTAACCTTACCGTAGGAGATCCAATTACTAGGACAGAACTTTCTTTTCGTTGATTATTTCTGATAATTTATACCTATAATTTATATGCATGTATATATATATATATAATATATTTTACCAATATTTATAATTTATGCTAGGCAGTCATTCTGGTGGGGGTCTATTATAGACCACCAAACCAAATGGATGAGACATTCTACAAGCAGCTGGCAGAAGTCGTGCAATCACCAGCAACTGTAATTGTGTGGGACTTTAGCTTCCCAGATATCTGCTGGAAATGCAATACAGCCCAGAGGAAGCAATCATGAGCCGGCACGGAATAAGACTGGCCTGGCTGAACAGAGAGTTGTGGCTAGAGCTCAGGAAGAAAAAGAGGGTTTATGACCTTTGGAAAAGGGGGCAGGCCACTCAGGAGGACTATAAGGATGTTGCGAGGCTGTGCAGGGACAAAATTAGAAAGGCCAAAGCTCATCTGGTGTTCAGTCTGGCTACTGCTGTTAAAGATAACAAAAAATGTTTTTATAAATACATAAACTCGAAAAGGAGGACTAAGGGGAATCTCCATCCTTTGCTGGATGCAGGGGGAAACTTAGTGACAAGAGATGAGGAAAAGACTGAGGTGCTCAATGTCTCCTTTGCCTCAGTCTTTAGCAGCAAGACCAGTTGTTCTATGGGTATCCAGCCCCCTGAGCTGGTGAAAGGGGACAGGGAGCAAAATGTGGCCCTCACAGGAGTGGCTGAGGGAGATGGGGTTGTTTAGCCTAGAGGAGAGGAGGCTCAGGGGTGACCTTGTTGCTCTCAACAGGTACCTTAAAGGAGAGTGTAGCGAGGTGGGGGTTGGTCTGTTCTACCACGTGCCTGGGGACAGGATGAGGGGGAAAGGGCTAATGTTGCACCAGGGGAAGTTTAGGTTGAATATTGGGAAGAACTTCTTTACTGAAAGGGTTGTGAGGCATTGGAATGGGCTGCCCAGGGAAGTGGTGGAGTCACCATCCCTGGAGGTCTTTAAAAGACGTTTAGGTGTAGAGCTCAGTGATACAGTTTAGTGGAAGACTTGTTAGTGTTAGGTCATAGGTTGGACTGGGTGATCTTGGAGGTCTCTTCCAACCTAAATGATTCTGTGATTCTGTGATGATTGTTTTATTATGTAAAGGACAGTCCATATGGCAATGTCAGTGCACATGGTTTTCCTTTCTGCCCCATCAGTGCTGAATAAGCTAGATGTGTGGTGGAAAATAGATGCTTTGAAAGACTACAGTACTCTGAATCTCTCATGTGCGTTTTCAACACTGTCTTCATTGGCTGGATAAATAACAGCAACAATAAAACCTAGCTTCGGGTGTTTGGAGTGGAGGTGAATGAATATTCATGACTGCAAATAAACTGCACATGAGGCTCACTTTACTGACATCAGCCATTGAACTGCAGATGACTTAGGAACAGGTAGATATTTGTAAAGATATTTCCAGTTGCTCAGGTTGGTAAGCAACAGCACAGAAAAACAGAATAACAGCTACACATAAAGTTCCTAGGTGCCTGCATTGCTTGTGAGTCTGTGGTATATCCTGTTAGTGTGGTGGAAACCCACTGAAATCCCCCTTGGCCTCTCATACTTCAAAGTATGACAAAGGGGGCCACCCTGAAAAACAGATTGTTACATTTTTTGAGCAAGACTTTTTTTTTTTACTTTTTTTTTTTTTATCTGGATGAAAATGCCACTATAATCCCAATCGGATGAATCTAGTTTGTCAGGACTGTAATCCACTCTGTTACTGGAACATCACACAGCACTGCATCCTCCTGTCCATCTTTTCTGGTGCAAATTATACCTTTTTGTCTGAAGTGTTTCCTACTGGATGGTTTCTAGGCTCTTTTTTTATTTATCCCTCTCTGTCCTTTGCCCTCCTGCTTTGCTGTGGAAGGTTCACTCTAGAACATGGTCCTATCCTGTAGTATTTATGAAGTGAGACTTCCAGCCAGATGGGTGCCATGGATCACTTTGCTTACTAGCAGTTGATAAGTTTCATGGTTGCAGGGGTCATGGCTTCATTCAGGCTGTGCTTGTTCTTCATCCACGTTCTTTTCCGTTTGCATCAGTGTTTTGATTCATGAAGTTTTGGTGCTCTCTGATCTGATGGCACACTTGCAGCTTTAACAGAGCTCATGCAGTTTTCATATACTTCATCAAACACCAGCAAGCACCACAAACCAAAGGTCACCCTGCCAGTGACTTTCAGCAGCTGGCCTGCTGTATGCTGGCCTAGAAGCACTCAGGGACTGTTCAAATGGCCAGTTGCTGTCGCTCTATGTACCTGCTGCCCTACAATTTTCACGCTTCCCCAACAGGCTCTTGCTTGCTCTGCCACTGCTTCTGCCTCCAGAAAACTGGCCCAAGCATCCCAAAGAAAACTGCAGAGCAGCTTTCTTTGTCCAGAAGCCTATGCACAGCCTGGATCTGACTGCATTAGGGGATGCAACTGCATGCTGCCAGTCTAGATTTTATTTCCATGCTCAGTTTTAAAATGGTATTTGATATTAAGACTTGGTTTAAGTGGCTGGATCAAGCAATAGCTAAAGGAGAGGCCTTGTAAAGAATCTTTGGGTGATATCCATTAGAGCTTCTTGCTCCTGAATGGACAGCTCTCCACTGGTTTTAGATGCACTGCTATCTCAGAGAGGTATAAATTATACAAACTCATTACAAGGTTATTGTGATAGTTTTGGTTTCTAGTTCCCATCAAGATTAATTGGAAGGGAAAATTGATATTCCCTACAGAAGTTTGGGAGTTTTCATATTTGAGGGTTTTTTTGCAATAACTTCTTTGGAGGCTTGGTGAAATCATCTATCCTAAAACACAGTTTTGTTTCTACCTTACATGGCTGGAACGCCTTTCCCCAGGAAACAACTACAACAACAAACCACAAAAACAACAACAACATAAAACACATTGCTTTTGGAAAAGTATCTGTATCCCAGGAAATTTGAGTCATGATATGACTTCCTTCTTCTTAGCACAAGCCAGGGCTGACTGACCTCTCATAACAAATTTCTGCTTGGTCTCTAGAAGCAGAGCCATTGGGACACGACAAAGAAATGCTCAGAAATTGGGGAAGGAGAAATGGGGTTGTTCTTCCTTGCACTGGACCTGCTCTGGGGACCATGAGGGCATTTGCTTCTGGCTGTGAAAACTTGTATCATCTAAGAGATGTGGTGCAATTGCAGCATCCTCCTAAAACTGAAATGTCCCCTTACAGAATCTCTGGATCTTGGTCCAGTATCCTAGTACAAATCATGCCTCAGCAGCATGCCACCATGACTCTGTGACTCTGAGCATGTGTTCTGGGCTTCCTGACCTCCTGCCTTCCTGCTGGTGCAGGATTGCATGCATGTGTAAGGGGAGGACAAGGAGAGCTGGGAGAGGAGCACTTCTCCATAGAGCTTGCTGAAAGGATGATCTTGTCCTGACATGCTAGCAACTTGGAGAAGGGTGAGTCCTCAAATTCACACTCACTTTGCCACTTTTGCTGGGAAAGGAGAAGTCAAGTCGCAGCAGCCCCAGCACCTGGAGAGGTGAATATGAGTCTAAAGGCACAGGCTGAGGTTTGTAGCTCTGGGGTTTTTACTTTGGCAAGTGAACTAACTGAAAATCATCTAAGAAAACAGAATTGCCCAACAAAGGAAATAACAGTATATCCTTTTTGTGTGTGTCTGTGTGTGTGTGTGTGTTTTTTTTTTCCCCTGCAGTAACCACAACTCTCTCCTCCTGGTCTGGGCATGCTAGAAAATGCAACGAAACAGCCAAGTCCTATTGTGTCAATGGTGGGGTATGCTACTACATCGAAGGGATTAATCAGCTGTCTTGCAAGTAAGTGAGTGTAGTTCTTGTGTCAACATGCAAATTACTTGTTTGGGGGAGAGGAGACCTCTGTGCAACTGCAGGAGGATGGGTAGTTCTGAAATTCTGGCAATTACAGTTTGAGCCATGCAGGTTAAGAAAGGGAGTCTAGAGGGGCGGGGGCAGGGGAAGAGGATTCATATTTTCTTTTTTGTGTGAGTGCCACGGTTTGCTTCTCCTGACTTTTTTTTTTTTTTTCCTTTTTTTTTTTTTTTTTTCTTTCTCTTCTTAGAATACTTTTGTCCTGGCCATTTTCTTTCCCTTCTTCCCTTTCTCTTCTGCAGCTTCAGGGAAGGTTGTGTCCCTCTTGCTCTCCCTGAGCTGTGTTCCTAGCCTTCAGCTGACATGTTCTTTCCTCTGAGCAGGGGGTCTTCCCCAGTGCACAGCCACCAGAGGGGGTCCCTTGCAGATACCTGCCTCTTACTTTTCCTGTCTGGTTCTCATGGACACTGAAGCAGGTTTAGCACACAGCTCTTCACCACTCTGTGCTTGCCTGTGTGACAGGCTGTGGGCTGTTTATTGCTTCCCTTCAAATATTAGAACCTGCAAAAAAGAGTGGGGAGATATACTAAGTTATCCTTAAAAGGAAATTTCTTGGAGGGGTTAAAGTGTGGCTGTATAGAGTGAGGGATATGGAATAGGATGTGAGAGCTTTTCACCTCTGGTTCAAACCTATTCCAATTAAAAAGCCCAATAGCCTCTCATGGCTCACCTTCCAAGCCTGATGTGGACCAAGAGAGTGCAGTCTGATTGTCAGTGCTGGAGACAGATATACCAAGCAAAGGCAAGCCTCTACTCACTTCTGGACTTCTGCAGAGTGAGCATGAGCCGGTACCCTGGGAGTAGAACTGGCTTGTGCCCAGCCAGTGAATCTGGGTGAGTTAGTGCCCGGTCTGGCTAGTGAGTTCAGGAGCTTTGCTGAACAGATGTAGTCAGTATTGGAGCTCACCAGGCATTACTGTGCCCAGGTTGGAGAAGCCCAGAGCTGTTTTCACCCTGTGTGGACCAGACACCTGTGTGTAGAGAGGGTCTGCCAAAGGTGTTTATATCTGTGGATCTCAGCCTAGTCTCACTGCCATTGCACAGTGTGATGCCCTCCTTGCCTCCTCAGACCTTGAAGGATGATTCTGAGCAAAGCCCTCATCCCTCTTGGAAGGGCTGTGTGCTGGTTTATGCTTAGCACTACTCCTTCCTTCTCCCAGTACTCCATTTTTTTGGCAGGAGTAGAAACAGCCATGTGGAAATATTCAGCTGAGCTCTTATGCTCTCACTTTCCAGAGCAGGATCAGATGTGGTGGGAAAGATATGGGATAACAGCATCATCTTGACAGTGTTCTCCACAAGAAACATGGAGGAAGACACAGCCACTATTGTGGTGTAGGTGCAGCCCTGTGAAGCCCCAACAGTTCCAGTCTTTCCATGATTGAGCCTGGAAGAGCATGTGGTTCTATGTCTATCTCTAAGCAATGTGCTGGTGCCAGAAAAATAGACCTCAACACTATTTCTTTTGGGAAAACCTTGAATCCAGATCAAGACTTTCAGATCTGACCAATTACTAATTGTAGCAAGAGTTACCTGAACCCCTGACATATGCAGATAAAATGTTTAGGTTCCATTATTCTTAATGGAGGATAGACGCGACAGTTATCAAGTGTCATCAGCAGACAGACTGATTTAACCAAAGTAATTTCAGCCCTGCAAAGAAACAGTCTGCCTTCAAAACAGGCTGCTGTCGTAGCTGATGAACAGAGGGGAAGCTCAATGACAAATTCCATTGAGATTTTATGTGCCATGCAAAACAGACATAATTATTTCATATAATTTGAAAGCCATTTACTTGAAAATGGGAAATGATTTCTGGTTTTTGATGAGTCCCAAGGTACCAGTTGCTAAAACCAGATGGGAGTTGAATTGGTGTGCATGGAAGAGCATCAAAGTGCTAACTCAAAGGAGATGTTGGAAGGTCTGCTAGAAAACAAAGTTCTGCATTAACAGGAACCAAGGAGACCCAAGTGACTTCCACACAATGCAATCACTTCTGATCCTACTTTACGAGGAGATATCTGCTCATTCTCCTTTGATTTTTTTTTTTATATATATATATATATTTTTGTTATCAAATCATTGACTGAAGATAAGAATTGCTGGATTTTGAGGTGCTGTTATATAGACTTTCTGGGGCTCCAGAAACATGACTTTCCCAATAACTTGGAGGATTCTTGGTGAAGGCTGATGATGGATATACTGACTTCAGACTTGCCTGCCCATCAACTAGCAAAGTGCTGAAATGTTTCACAGCTTCCTCATTGCACTAAGGCAGAAGATCAGCTGCTGTGGTATATGAAAGATTCGATGATATCAGTTCAGATGAGAAACTAGAGAAGGAGTCAAAGATGAAGGCTTTGTCTTGCATTTCTCAAATCTGTAACATGGGATTCAGCTACATCATCCCTCTGAGATGTAGGCATGGAGGAGATCCTTCTGCACACAACCTCTTCAAATGCCTTGGAGTGAGAGATCAAACAACAGCCACATGAGCATCCTGAGCTCTATCTGGACACTGTTCCTACTTCGCTATTCTGATTAGAGTCAGCAGTACCTTGGGGGTCTTCTGGCACTGTGTGCCCCCTTGCAGTCTTCCTTGACCAAGTTCTAAGGAGATTCCAGCATGCCTGGCACCAGCATTGTGCTGCCAGCCTTTTCAACACCTTTTAAGTACCAGGTATCAGAAGACAAAATTTTAAAGAGCTCTTGTTAACTCCATCATCCTGTAATCAGAAGTGGATTTCATTGTTTGCAACTGTCCATGAGCACAGGAGATCCTTTCTCTGTTATGTCTGGCACTCTGGAGCAAAAAGAGCAGCTGGATTTTCAAATATTTTCTTTTCCTGAAGTGGCTCGTACTTGTGTTGTTATAGATATTGCCTAAATTGGCAGCCAGCCTTTTAGTATTGTTTTTAATGGGCTTCCCAGAAATATATTCCTCTCAGTCTTGTAAGTTCTGGAGAGCAAACAGCAGCTCAGCTTTTTCCTGCAAACTCACCTCCTCTCTCCCTTTTCAATATACTTCATCTAGACCTTGGAGGATGCAGTTTCTTAACCAGGGAACAGCCCAGAACAGATCTGGAGCTGTTCCAAAAAGTATGTCTGTTTTGGATTGCGTGCTTGCATAAATTAGTCCTTAATTTGAAGTAAATTCTATACATGCTAGAGTCAAAGGAAAACTGAATATGATACAATCTGTGTTGTTATCCTTACGCTGCAAACAGACCACCTGGAGGTTAAATGGGAGAAGTCTGATCTGCCTCAGATATTCTACAAACTTTCACTGTTAACCCAGAAAACTACTGAGTCACACACATACAGAATTGACTCAACAGCCCTAGAAAATTAAAGAACCCAGGCTCTTGCTGTCAGTAAAACTTTCTTAACCTTTCTCCAGACCATATTGCTCAGAGATGCTTTAGAAGTTTTACTGGTTTCTTACCATAACAGTAAGGAAACTGCATAGAACAGAGCAGGGAAGATTCCAGTGCCTGCAGAAGGAATGCACACAAGCAAGTCTCAAGGCCTTGAACGGGGCTGGAACATAAAATAGAGATGACTGATTTGTTGTGTCCAGCTGAACTTAGTGCTTGGGAAGATTAGCAACCTCTGAACTTGGGCCTGCTCCATCCTGGAACCCATTGGGTTCTTGATAAAAATTAGAGCATTTTGAGGCTGCTCTAATCTTTTGTCACTGGGTGCCAGGCCCCATTGGGTTGTGCTAGAGTGTATATTACAGAAGAAATTAAAAACTCTTCCTAGTTAGGTCTTGGCACAGGTCTTCTGCAGTTGGGGTCTTCTCAGCCAAACAAAGAAACAAAGCCAAGGATCACTGCTGCACAGCCCCCCTCTGCTTACTTAGAGGTGCTTCAGGGTGCTTCATGGCTCTTTTGTGTTTGATGTAGCTGAAGTGGCTGATACTGTGGGCCAGGATCTTCCTAAATTGCATTGGATCAGAAGACTGAAAGCTTTATAGAGCAACCCTCTCCCATCTGGTAGTACAAGTTGTGCTCACAAGAGTCAGGCTGTAGTGTTTACAGATGCTGACTTTCTGGGTTTAGATTGTCTATATTTAACAAAATCACGTTAAATGAAGAGCTCACAGTGTTGAGCTAGGGGTGAAAATCTCTATCTCCTATTCCAAATCTTCTGAACCAGCCAGGACTAATTCATCGGGTTTCACATGCTGTGATAGAGTTTCGAGATGAGTTACCTTTTTTGTGTTCAAGTGGTCCTTCTATGCATCCAGTTCAATCCCTTTTAATGCACGTGTAGCAAACCCTGGAGAACCATCTGAGTGTGGAAGCTGATCCTGTAACAGTGAGACTCAGTGAAGGCAACAGTGCAGATCCCACTTTGCTCTCACAGCTCAGTTGGAGCTGGGCTGTTGTCTTCACTGAGGCTAGAAGTGGATGTCCTTGTGATTTGGACTCTACTATAGAGCAAACATGCCTTGATTAGCTGCTCTGGATAAGGACTCTACATTTATGCTGGTTTCTTTCTTTACTTATCATTAGTGGTTTTGTGGAGTCCAGCCTTTTGTGGCTCTCCAAGAGCCTGATCATCTGGGACTGGTCAGGGGACAATGACAGAACTGTCTTCTTTTTCAGCCCTTTGCACAAATAAGCAACATGCTTGAAACATTTCTCCATTTCCTTTTACCAGTGCATTGTGTTCTTCTGCTGCAGCTTTTCCTTATCTTGTTATTTTGAAGCACCTGCTTGTTTACATTCTTCTGTAGCATGGATTGCATTATGAAAGCTACTGATTTTGGCATACTTTAAGATCTGGAGGAAGTGGGCCAACATTTGCAAGATTTAGGTCAACAGCTGGGCAGAAAATGTTTTGCTTCCAGCAGGAATATTATTATAATAATGCTATTAATAAATAATTAAAAAAATAACAATAATTATTTCTCTGCCCTG